TTTTTTAGGACCTGTCATCTATAGGAAAGCCAATTATGTCATCAGGGCACTGCATAAGGTGGCAATTCCTAAGCTGCCAAACGGAGTCAATATGAAATATTACCAAACTCCAAATTTCAAGTCCACCTAAAGAAACAAACAGGGAGAGAGAGAGTGAGAGAGCAAGAGGGGGTGGGGCAGGGAGGATGGAGAGGAAGAGGAGAGAAAGGTATAGAAAAATACAAAGAAGAAAGAAATACAAAGTTGTGCCAAAATCAAAATGACATGTTGGCATCCGTTTAGCTAATGGCTAATAATTTGTAGCTCCACATGAACATCTAACCTTTCAACACTGAAAAGGCCCAAGATAAACGTTCCTGTTATTCCTTATAGACTCACTGCCTTACTCTAGCCCAGCCAACCTAATCTTGGCTCCCTCTCCTTCTTCATCCTACTCCAGCCTCCAGACATGTTTCTACGCAGACCCTCCCATGCCAGCGATAGCCACCCACCCACCATCTGCCAAGCTGCCTTCTTGCCCTCATTCATCTGAAAAATTTTCTTAAATCCTATCCCATCAGGAAAACAACCTCAATTTGTGGGCAGGAACACAAGAGTCTGCCTCTGGAGTATAAAGACGAGTGTTTCTATTAAGCCTTTTAATTTTTTAACTCTTTCAATCTATTCAATAACATTATAAGGTATTATTGTACCCATTTTACAAAGGAGGAAATTCAAGCTTATAAATATCAAATGAATTATCCATATTTCCTTAGACAGTAAAGGTCAGAATTGGAGCTCAAATATAGGTCTTCTAATTCCTGCTGATATAAATTGTTCTAAAGAAGCAAAAATGTATTATGCTTTCTATTCTAAGAACATAAGGGATTTTCAAATGGTTGTGCAAGTGACCTATGAGTTCATAATAAATATTAAACCTATTCATCTACAAAATGAATTGACTTCATGCAATAGTAAACTAGAAGCAGGAAACCACTTTCTAAGAGTGAAGGCCTTAGCTACCAACATTCCCAAGCAACAGAGAGTACTATTTAGTGTTTCAATTTGCAAAAATGCAATAAAAAGCTCAGCTAAGTCTCCAGGCAGGTTTACAAGTGAATAATAACCACATAAGATACATGGGATACCTTTATGATGCCTCCAAGGTATAAATGATCACAAGGGAAAATCAACAACGAACACCCCAAGAGAAAGCAGCAAATATTAAACAAATGTCACCAGAGTCATTTTTATTAAATTTTCATACTTTCAACAGATACTCATGAGTGTCTCATCTATGTCAGTCAAGATTCAAGAATTAGCAACTAAATAAGGTCCAGCCCCTGTGGTCTAGGAATTCTTCTCTGCCTGTATTCTTCAAACTTCCTGCTATAACAGATGCTGCTCTGATTTTTGTTTTGGTTTGGTCAAATGGGGGATTGAATCATTTCCTACAGCTTGGTTACCCATGACATTCCAGTTGCTCCTACAAGGCTGACTCCATAGTCTCTGGAGGGTAGCTACCAAAATTACTATAAAGCCTGACATCACTTTGCAAGCCCTTTTTTGATGCTGGGATCCTCTACTCTCTATACACCTATCATCAAGTTCTCCTTCAAGACCTATGATTGCATCAAGAAAACATTACAGCTGTCCCACATCGCCACATACAACATGGACCAGTTATACAAATGAAAGGTTTTTTACTGTCCTGACAATAATGAGATAGTCAATGTCATAACACCACTTGGCTGGTGGCTCTTAAGTTTCATGGATTTAATCACATGACATATTATAGGCTCAAGGTCACATTTACATTGGGCTAGATCCTACTTCTCTATAGCAGATAATAAAAATCACATCCACAAATAGAAGATGTCATAGAGGAATAGAAATTTCAATAAAATAGAACAAAATATGATAAAGAAAAAAAAAGGGATATCATAGAACTTCTGGAATGATTCACTAGGTTCTCCATAAAGTTTGATTATTAAAATCAAATTTTCAAGAACTCTGGAAATTAATTAAAGATTTTCAACAATCTGAAAAGCATTCATTCAAATGAAAATTATGAGCCTTGGTAAGAACAGAAGGATTTGTGTATTGTATTTTGATCTACTTCCATTTTTCTCTCCCCAGTTCTACAACATCCTTAAAAACCAGCACACTTGCTACCATGGTAGCTGTAAAAACCAACAGGAAAGTAGTTTACATCCTGATACAACATAGTCAAACTACTGAAAGCCAAAACAAGGAGAAAATCTTAAAAAGAGCAAAAGAAAACTACTCATCACATACAATAAAATTAACAGCTGACTTCTCATCAGAAATCATAAAGGCCAGAAAGCAGTAAGATGACATTTTCAAAGAGCTGAAAGAAAAAACTGTCAACAAGGAATTCTATTTGCAAATTAAGACACTCCCAGGAAAAGAAAAATTGAGAGAATGCATCATTAGCAGAACTAACTTACAGGAAATACTAAAAGGAATCCTTCAGGCTGAATTAAAAGGACTCCAGAAGTAATTTAAATCCATACCACCAAGAAAGTTAAAAGAGAGCTCACAAAATGGAAGAATATAATTACAAGTCATATATGTAATATGAGCCTCACATCCAGAATATATAAAGAACTCTTAAACTCATTAGGAAAGGGATAAATAATCCAATTAAAATGAGCAAAGGATTTGAATGGACATTTCTCCACAGAAGACACAGAAATGTCTAACAAGCACATGAAAAGATATTCAGCATAATTAGTCATTAGGGAGATATATATCAAAACTACAATGAGACATCACATCCACTAGGATAGCTAGAATCAAAAGAGAGACAACAGGGGAGCCTGGGTGGCTCATGGGGTTAAAGCCTCTGCCTTCGGCTCAGGTCACAGTCCCAGGGTCCTGGGATCGAGCCCCACATCAGGCTCTCTGCTTAGCAGGCAGCCTGCTTCCTCCTCTCTCCCTGCCTGCCTCTCTGCCTACTTGTGATCTTTGTCTGTCAAATAAATAAATAAAATTAAAAAAACAAAAAGATAGACAACAAATTTCTGTTGGTAGAAAAACAGAAACCCTCATATATTGTTGGTGAGAATATAAAAGTGGTTCAGCCACTCTGAAAAACTTTGTCACTTTCTAAAATGTTAAACATTGAGTTACTACCACATGATACAGTAATTTTATTCCTAAGTACTTATCCTAGAGAAATTACAGTTGACCCTTGAACAATGCCGGCGTTATGGATGCCAACCTCCCACACAGTGGAAAATCTTCATGTAACAGATTGACTCCCTCAAACACTTAACTATTAATAACTTACCATTGACCAGAAGCCTTAAATGATAACATAAACAGTCGATAACACATATTTTGTGTATGTATTATATACTGTATTCTTATAATAAAGTAAATAGAGAAAATGTTATTAAGAATATCGCAAGGAAGAGAAAACACATTTATAGTACTATACTGAAAAAAATCCACATATAGGTGGATCTGCACTGGTCAAACCAGTGTTGTTCAATAGTAAATTGTACAAAATATATCCACAGAAAAACTTGTACATGGATGTTCATAGCAGCATTATTCATAATAATTATCCACATTAATAGCTAAAAGTAGAAATAATCTAAGTGTCTATCAACTGATGAATGGAGAAATAAAATATGATATATTCATACGATGGAATTTGGATAGATAGTGATAATAATACTGGATAATAATGGATAGGTAACTGGCTTCCTAAGATTAGAGAATATGAGGTTGGAGAGTTGCTGCTAGTGGGTCTAGGTTTTCTTTTTGGGGTGATGAAATGTTCTAAAATTAGAGTGTGGTGATAGTTGCACAACTCTATGAATATACTAAAATCATGAATTCTACACATTAAATTGATGGATGTTATGGTATATTAATTATATCTCAATAAAACTCTTTTAACAAAAAGGGGAAAAGTGAAGATAACCTCCTTAGATCCATTGTCACATACTGTAAGTTGCAAAGATGTCCAAGAAATCTTAATTAAAAGAACTAAACACTACGTATGGCATAAATATATACCATGATTTGGGATGTGTAGTAATGATTTAATAACAACTAAAATTTACCAGTTGCTTACTATGTCCTGCTAGGTACTGTGCTATAAACTAGACATTTTTACAAAGCGCTTTGTCTGAATGCATCAAGAATTTGTCATATCACTCAGAATTTGTCATAAGGAATTAGATAGCGTTGTTTAGGGAAAAAAAAAGAAGAAATTGAATCAAAAATACATTCATTATGGCATTATTTACAAGTGAAAACCTAGAAGTCATTTAAATGTCCAATAGTAACAACAACTGTAGCATATGGTTAATTTCATATATTCAATATTTAATCAATAAAGATTATAGTTTGTAGGACTATGTAGCTCCTTGCATAAATAAGGGGTTGCAGAATTCCTTCTGTACTACAGTAGTAACAGCAAACATTTATTGAGTTTTTCAGGCATGCCACTAAACACTTTATATACATTAATTCATTTAAGCTTCATGTTAACCCCTTGAGGTAAGCATTGTAGAGTGGTTGTCAAGGTCACCATGCTAGTAAGCGGTAAAGTCAGCATTTGAATCTTGGCCATCTGCCTACTCAGACCATGTCTTAGCCATTAGGCTGCCCCACCTTTCTATCATAGCATCATACTCCATGGATATGGACAAGAACTAGAAAAAATATTCAACAGTGGAAATATTTGGTTTGATGGCAGGATTAGGAGTAAAGTTTTCCACTCTTATTTTTTAAATTTTCTAAAGTTTGTATACTTTGTAACCTTTATGTTTTAAAAAATGGGGAAAAAATCAAAAATCTTTTATTCCTGTTATTACTCCTGTTTACCTCTTTACTCCTATTACCCCTTAGGATAAGAGATTTCATGTCTACCAAGAAAATGTAATGCAAATACAACAACAAAACAAAGATTTTCTATTTCATCTTAGGGAATGTAAATCAAAATATATCCTAACAAGCAAGTTATAGCATATCAATTTTACCTTGAATATATCTGCACTGTTAGGGTTAAACAGCTGGTATTTTCCAGATCCCAAAATAATAGGACCTGAACATGTTGCTTCTCCATAGACATAAAGAGATACTGTTGCTGTAGTGCCGGCATTTTCAAGATCCCCAGTGACAATGGTCACCTTCCAATCTCCTTCTGCAAAGGAAAAAGGAAATTAATACAAAAATGTGGAAGAAAACCATATTAATATTAGGAAATGAGGGATTCTACCTAATCCACTTAGTTATGAAGTGAATAATTTGTGAAATCAAGAAGTATTAAAATAACTGCTAATCATGGACTCCGTTTTGGAAGCCGGCATGTGGAAAAGTCTTGGAAATTAGTTTATTTTATTTACAAGCATATAACCAGTAAGCTTTTTAAGATTGCAGATATTTTGGGGAAAAACACTGAAAGGGAAGCATTTAGCATTGGTATTTGGCTGGAAGATTTAGGAGTTTATTCAGCATCACCGTCAAATCTTTAGTTGGGAACTAATGGCAGGCATATTGATAAGCTGACATTAAGACATTATCTGTACTAGGGAACAGCCTTGCAAAGCTGTGGCTGATAAAGTTTGGTGATCCCAGCAAAAGCATGGCGAGGATGTGGAAAACCTAAAGACAAAGCAAAAAGAGCTAAAAATTTATTTAAAAAAAATTGCTAGTGTCCCCTAAATGTTGGAACGAACCAACAAGTAAGGAGAAAACATTGCATGTAGGGTCTAGCAGAACTGAGAGGGTTTGGGATGGCGGGGGATGAAGAAAATTGGTGTTTGAAACAGAGGAAGACCATGTGTCGTGTAAGCAGAACGGATCATTGAACTTCCTGCCATGGCAACGTTAAAACCACAGGAAGGTTGAGACAGAGCATGACAGAAAATATCTTTTAAGAAGACCTACAACTTGTTCCGTGATTGGTTTAGTTGGGAAAACAAATAGAGATAGCATTTATTTAATCATTTGGTGCACTTTGAAAATGGCACCATCAACTCCAAAGCAGTGAAATCCTCTCAGTGTGACCTCACACCACACAGTCTAGAGTAACAAAGGATAGAGTCCTGTCTGCTAGAACTCTCTACTCATTACAACTGATCCCTGGATTGCAAGGGAAATTTAAAGGTGTCTATTATTATTGTCAAAGCCGCCGCAGTATGTGTATACTTGTGAGTATTTATTACATTTTCAAAAGGGGATGAAGACCTACCACCATTTTAGATATCTGAGTTCTCAGTAAGCCCTCCACTCAGAGGTTGTCTTTCTTTTTAGTACATTACACCACTCTCCCTGGTCCCCAGTCCATCCACAAAGATCATAGGAACGTCTCTAATCAGTTTGATAAAACTTGCATCAGGTAGATTCTGCATAATGCTACATTTGTTACTAAAGATGGAACTTAATTAAGCCCCAGCACCAAAATGCCAAGGGAGGGGTATAACTCACAGGGGTGCACTCTTCAATTTCCACCTTGTAGCAAGTTTACTTAGAGGAATTTCAGTTCATTTTCAGTGAGAAAATTAGAAAATATAAAAATTTCAAACTATAATCCCATGAGAATCCTACCATGGTATCAATTCTTATAGAAAGCCTTCCACCTGTGCCTTGATGCATAATTCAACAAGTTGAAGTATCTCATTTCCTGTTTTTAGGTCTTCTCTCCTATCTCATCTTTATCTCCTTCCCCTGCCATCTGGGGGTTTTTGTACCATGATAGCATGGGAAGAGGGACACAAATGAGTTTGCATGTTGCCTTGCATATCTTGTTTACTACAACAGTGACAAATAGCAATGAGACATTGATTTATATAATATTCTTATGTTCTCACCTTTTGAAATTGCCATGTCACCACAACATGAAATTTAAAGGTGGAATAACCAATGAAATGTCTTTTGTGGTGATTTTTTAAATTGTCGTTATTCTCAGCATGATTTTCTTTACTAGCACTGGGGAAAAAATTAACTATTTCAGTATTCCCTATAGTATACTTTTAAAATGTGATCATTTAACTTCTCTAAGAATATCTCCCTATCTAAAATATGAAGTAATTAGAAACACTTGTAGAAAATATCATAGAGGTACAATCTGAGTCTATATTTATTTATTTATTTTAAGATTTTATGTATTTATTTGATAGAGAGCACAAGTAGGCAGAGCAGCAGAGGGGCAGGCAGAGGAAGAGGGGAAGAAGGCTCCCCGCCAAGCAGAGAGCCCAATGCGGGGCTTGATACCACAACTCTGGGATCATGATCTGAGCCGAAGGCAGATGCTTAACTGACTGAGCCACCCAGGTGCCCTGAGTCTATATTTAAATGAAAAGTTCCCTGAGTCTATATTTATATGAATAGTTCCATTAGGCTGCAAAACAGTTTATTTTTATCAGAGCTAAAAATATGTTTACAGTTTTTATATCTCTTATTATGTGTCACAATTCCAAGTTTTTAGTTCTGTAATTTTCTATTGGGGAACTATCTTTACCAAAAGAATCAAAGAACATGAGTTCAGATATTCTAAGTGTCGCTTCTCTTTCTTTTCTTATAGCTGCTGTCTGTTCAATCCCAAGGAGTTTTATCTCAAAATACTGTAATCTGCTAACCTCTTTAGAAAAACCAATTCTATTAACTCAAAGCTCCCAAAGAGAATTCATGTAATTGAAATCTAAATATTTATCTCATATTTACCAGTGTTTTAAAGGTTTAAAAAAAAAGTTTGTTGACTATGCAATAAGCCATTGCTGAGAATCTACCTCAGACTGTCCCATTTTATTCTCTTTTTGTTGGCTCTCAAAGCTTAAATTTGGAAAGATACTATAATAGTTGCCTCCATTTGAAGAAATCCTGCTACAGAAAAAAGAAAACTTTTCTTGGAGACTACGTCTATGGAGGTTTATTTTTCTTTTGTGTTAAAAATGTTTAAAAGTAGTCTAGATATACCCTATGATCTCCAAATAGCCCAACAATACATTTATTTTTTATTGTGTTATGTTAGTCACCATACAGTACATCATTAGTTTTTGATGTACTGTTCCATGATTCATTGTTTGTGTAGAACACTCAGTAAAAAATTTAAATTTCTCATCAATAATAAAGTAAATTTTAATAACTTTCACTTTAACAATAGAAAGTATGTGTTCTGTATTTGCTATTCTTATACAGCTAAATGAAATCAGTATAGATAAAAACTGAACTAGAAAATCCTGAACTTCAGGATATGATGCTATGCCAACAAATGGAATTCAATTAATATTTGTTGACCAGCTGATTGATTAGTATTAAGTGTCTATATTATGAACAAGCATTCTGATAGATATTCAAGAGGCTCTCTATGGGACTATGTGAGTCAAATTATGAAATTGACTTGACAGTTTATAAAGCTCACCTAATACCAAATTCACTGATCATTCACTAGTAAGCCAGAGGGTAAGCATCCTTTCCTTTACAGAGATCATAGACCAGGGGTTGGCAAATTATGGCCCAGTGGCCAAATCCAGCCTGCCACCTGTTTTTTGTAATTAGTTTCACTGGAACACAGACACAGTCATTTGTTTATGTATTTTCCATGGGTGCTCATGTGCTACAACAGCCAAGTTGGGTAGTTGCAACAGAGACCATATGGCCTACAAAGCCCAAGATGCATATTATCTGGCCCTTCATCATAAAACTTTGCTGACTCCTGCTCTGTATGATCGATATAACTCAAAAATGTCCTCTCCAGCCTCCATTAGAACGTGTGCTGTTTCAGTCTTACACCATGCAAGACTTAAACAATGCAACCACAGCTATCAAACCCCACTGATTTCCTAGTTTACATCTCCGCCTCCACGCTTGCCTCCATCACTCCATAAATACCAGGTTAATTTACAACAGGCAATCTAGACAGACCAGGCATATTCTGCTATGGCAGACTGCATTACTTAAAGGCCTTACTCATATCTCCCAACCTACCTGCTCTTTTGCAAAGTGACCATTTTACCTCTCTATTAAGAGGTAGAGTCTATTTTCCCTGATCGAATCTGGGCTGCCCTTGGCCAATATAATGCAGCAAAGTGACATTCCAGGACTTCTGAATCTACGTTGGTCTGAGTCTATTAGAACACCCTCTTCAGATACTCCCTCTTGGACCTCAGGAGTTGTGCTATGGAAACCTAAGGCACATGGGAAGTCCTCATGTAGGAAAGTAACTCCAGCTGAGCTGCCTGTGTCACCAACCAGGGGAGTGGGTGACCCATCTTGGATATCCAGGCAGCCGTAGCTTCAGATATCTGTGCAAATGAAGTACTATAAAACTAAAGTCATGGAAGTTTCCAAGCAAGAATCACCTGGCTGAGCCACATCGACCCACTGAAAGGTGAAAGATAGGAATCAATTACTGTTCTGAGCCACTAAGTTTTGGGGTGGTTTATGATAAAGCAAGGGAAAACTGGAAGAGCTGCTGAAAGCATTTCACAGGTAAGAGGTTTCTGTTATCTTTCTCTTATAAATACCATTAGTGTTTCTACCAGGAGGTCTTATTAGCATGTATGCAGGGAGATTTGACTGAGGCATTTCCTTCATTTCCTAGGAAAAGGGAAAAAAATAGATTGCAGATTTACTGTTAACTGTTTCCTTTGCAAGATTTTCTTATTAATTGGAGGTTTATTTTTAGGAAGGCATGAGTGACTTATTTTGGTAAGCAAAATCCCTATAGCTATGAAGTTCAATAACTCTTCCTTAGATCTTAACAATTTATCTTTACCCATTCTGTGTATTTTGTTACAGGCGTTACACACATTTGCCTTTATAGCTCAGAAAATTGACCCTGTTGTTGAATAGAGAAACATCTGTATCTAGACACATTTTCAGTTACTTGGCAACTGCCCACTGAATACTCAAAGAAATGTTAAGGAGGATGCATGTAAATTAAGCTCTGACCATGTAATTCTCAGTTCAACATACCGAGGGAAAAACTCCTCAAAGCACATTAAAAACTATGGAACAGGCATGTTTTGCCTGATGATGCACCAGATAGTAAACATGTACCCATGACTCTTACCTTAACAGAGCAGGACACAATACGATGCAGTGAGAGTGACAAGACTTAATGCCCCTCTGCAGACTGCAAACTCGCACTGCTCCGATTACTATCACAGGTAGACTGAGACAGCCTAAGAAGAACGATACTACCATGCATCACGAAGCATGTGCTTGGCTCTAACTTGGTGGAGAGGTTGATCAGGTGGCAAGGAAGGATGGGGGAGAGCTGCCGGCAACTCACTCAGGGAAACAAAAGCCCTAAAGTTAACCAGATCCACCCTCTCACAAACTCCTGGGAGTCTCCCCCAAACTCTAGGTGATGAATTCTACCCATATTCCCTCTGTTCCTTGAGAGAGGTCAGAACAAATAAAACTTTCTCCATCTTTCCATTTATGGCAATATTTTAACATTGCTAATAGATTGCCGTGCCTGCCAAATACTTACCTCAGCTCTGTTCATAACATTGGTATCCCCTGCACCCTTACAAAGCATCCTCTGACCCCTCTGAAATCTCTCTCATGCCGCTACTCACACACCGTCCTTTAGCTATCTTGAAGGGCCTTTTCCCTCACCCAGGGTCTTGCCTAAAAGTCACTTCCTCCAAGAAGCATTTCCAGGCACCTTTTCCAGTAACTAGAATGAACGCTTCTCTCCATAGTGATGTTGGACCTGTGCACACTTCAACCCTGTGATATACAAAAAAGTTCCATCTCTCTGGCCCTCCTACTCCTATCTACCCACACAGACTCTAAGCCCCTGAAAGGGCAAGTTTTTGTCTTATAGTCTCTGTATCCCCAGGATCTAATATAATACTTGGCACAGAGTCCTAAAATGTTTGGGGATCCATTAAGAAATATTTTGAAAAATAAAGACTACATGTATGAGAAAGGATATTCAAGGCATTAAGAATGCCTTAGCACAATATATTTCTATTTCTCATCAAAGAATAAATCCTTCTCATTGTGCATCATTCAGGTCATTTTTTGTATACAGGACAAGGACATTGTTATTTGCCTCATAATTGGTCTTGTTATTAGCACAAAGATAATAGAAACAATATTGACCTTGCATCACCCAAATTTTGAAGGGCATGTAAATATATTTCAGTGAGATTTGGCAAAGATAATATAAACAAGACAAGTTATTACTTTATCCTAATTTTTGATAATTTTATCTCCGAACAATTCTATCTATATAAACTCACAAATCCTTCAAAATACAACCTCATAAGAGGATCATGAGATTTTTTTAAATTTTTTTCAGCACTTTACAAATATTTTTATTCTTTCAAGAGACAAATATCATTAATCCTATTATACATACAAAGCAATAGAGAAATGATTTGCTCACTACCACAGGAGTTAGGATAAATCTGATACAGAATTAGAAACAGTCACGCTTCCTGGAATAAAATTGTTTCAAACAATACTCAATTTTCTCTATTTTAAGTCTGGAAAACAAGCATAAAACACTATCAGAAGTGAATCTATTATATATTTTATATTGATATTGGTTTCGGGTAAATATCATTTCTATGGTTTTGTTTATTATTTATTGCTGTGTGACATGGTAAACGACACCCCAGTTTACAGAGCTGAATAGAGAAGCAGCAGCAATAGAGACCCTTCCTGGCCATGGGGCATGCTGCCTGCTCCAGCCAAATGCTGCAGTGGGGCTGCTGTTGGATGCTCCAAACCCCTGACACCTTCTATCACAAGGGAAAATTAAGTTTAAACATTATCACTGATTGTGCATGTGAGGTCTACGGCTCCGGTTAAATGTTTTATAGATAATATTTTTACCAAATCCTCACAGCAGCTCTAATGGTCCCTATTATCATCTCCACTTTTTAAGAAAGAACTGAGGCACAGAGAAATTCAGTGACTTCCCCAAGCCCGGCAGTGAATAAGTGGTGCATTCTAGATTTAGGATCTGCACTGATAGTCAGGATGCTCAGTAGCCTCCCTGCATGTTGGAGCTTGTTAGATATCACTGTGAAGTTAGGACGATGGTTCTTCACTGCAGTTTACTCTGAGTCCTCTGCCTCTCTGTTTAGTATATTCGACTCCACTTCAAATCTTGATTTTTGACGAGGGAGTAGCATGGTGGCTAAATGGCAGGCTCCCGCAGGGTCCCCCATGTTCCCTGTGACCATCCCCAACCTGGATGCCAGATTCTCATCAGTGGTATTTCTGCCTTGTCTTTATTCCAAGTTTCCCTCAAGTTTATCCTTCATGCTTGCTGCTAAATCTCTCCATGCCTCTACTGATCATCCTCCTTACCACAGCTAGAAACCTTAGCTTGCCTCTCTTCGAATATTTGCTAACAATTCTCAAGTACCTCTTGCTCTGGCTTCCAGGCAACCTAGTAGGTCTAAACCTACTTTCAGAACCACATCACTGGCATCATTAAGATAGCAACTCATGATCCTCAATTACAGAATTCATATCTTGACCTACATATGCAGTCTACATGAACTACTCTCTACCAACTCTACTGCTGTGGTTATCTATTGCTGTGTAACAAACCATCCGAAAACTGAATGGCTTCCCTCAGCAATAATGCATTCTTTGGCCAATGAATCTGCAATCTGAGACAGACTTGGCAGAGAAAGTTCATCTCTGCTCCATACAGCATTGGCAGGGGTGGCTCAACAGCAGATAGAAGGGTCTATGTTCAAGATTGCTCTCTCCTGTGACTGGCAAGTTGGTGCTGGCTGCTGGCTGAAAGTTCAGGTGGGGATTGGGACAACAGCCTTTATACCTCTCCATTTAGACCTGTCCATGTTGTCTGGGCTTGTCCATAGCATGATAGCTGGTCTCCAAGAACAAACATCCCCAGAGAGACGGCCTGGCAGAAGCACTGTCACATCTTTTGACCTACTAGTATATGGCAGAAACACCACATGACTAATTTTTGTTCCATGCTATTAGTTGAGGCAGTCTCAAAAGTCTGCCTAAGTTCATTCCACCTTTTGATGGGGAATTTCCAAGGTTCTGGAAGAGTAAACAGGACAGGAAATTTAGTTACAACGCTTTACCAAATACAGTCTGCCACACCTACCTTTCCAGACTTGCACATCCCAACACCTCAGCCCCTTTTCCCAACAGAACCACCATTCTCTAGGTCAGCAGTTCTCAACTGGGGGTCATTTCTCCACCTAGAAAACATTTGGTGAAGACTGAAGACATTTTCTATGGTCACAGCTGGTGGCTGAGTGCTATCAGCATCTAGTGCATAGAAGTTCAGAGATGCTGCTAAACATCCTATGGTATACTTGAGAACTCCCCACAGCATAAAATTATCCAGCCCAAAGTGTCAATAGTCTCAAGCTTGAGAAACCTTGCCAGACTAAGTAAGAGCCATTTGATTAATCCTATTTCATCCCAAAATGTACAGTGCTTTTTGTGAATTATCTCCATGTAGAAATTGGTTGAAAGAAGATTCTTTGTTGGCAATGTGTCTGCATATCTGTTGGATGTTCTGAAGATCTGACATCATATTGTTGTTTTAGTATCCAACCCGTTATATTCAATTACTATGTTGAATTATGGGTATTTTGTTTCAGTCAGGAAAAGATATGAACCAATATTCTAGAATCAATACAGCATAAATAACTACCCAAACACTGGTCATTTACTGTCAGGAGAAAATGAGGCCAAAGCCAAGCAGGGGGCATGAGAAGCACTGCAGTGTTTCCCTCGTAGCTCACCTAACTCTTCCTTGCAGACCCATGTCAAACAGCAAGTCATAGCAAATATCTGGCCTCTGATGAGAATTTCCATGAGCTCACCTTCTTCCTCCTGCTTCCAAACTTGTCCCCACATTGACTTCTCTTTTCCCGTTTAGCCGCACTGGAATTTGTTAACCAAGTTTCAAGCAACATGTGTTCGGACTGGTGAGGCAATCCCAGATAAGATGTCTCTGGCATCTCAGCTACACACATCACGGGCACTTATCTGGGACACTGATCCCTCAGGCCCACCAAGTTTCCAGGTACCCACAACATGTCTTCCTATGCAGGAAGAAAGACTGACCAAGCAGGTAGAAGTTTCTGACCCAGGAGAAGGAGGTCACTTCTTTATCCATACAACTACAAAAACAATGTGCCATAAATGATCAGAGCAGGAGGCAATTCAAAGCCATCTACACTTGATTTGGGATGCACGGTGATGTTATAAAAGAGTTTATATTGTTAATTATGTTGAACCCAATAATTAAATTCCAGTTTCTATCCTAGAGCAGACACTACAGGTAGTGAGACCTGCAAACATGTATAGAAAGTAGAATTGAGAGGAGAGCGAAAATATTTTAATATTTACCCCCAGATAATTCACCAAGTTACTAATAATCACACTACAAAGTGTTGGCATTTCCTATAAATAAGTAGGTAAGTCCTCCAAGAATTTTACAGTCCCTCAAGTCAGAAACCCTTGAGAGCATACAGAAAGCACAACCATTTAAAGTGAAACAGTTTGTATAATGCTTAAGAGCTGAATTCTAATACCAGTTCTTTCAGTTACTAACAGTTTGACTTAAGTTTCTGATACTTCAAGCCAGTTTCTTGGGATGATATTTTTAAAGCCCTGTCACTCTAATACCACTAAATTCTGGGCAAATTAAAAAAAACAAAAACAAATTTTTTGATCATTATTTCATTTCCAAGAAAGAAGAAAAATTCCCCACTGTCAAATAATAATAATAAAATATTAATAGTAATAATAATAATAACAATAGTAATGGAGGGGCCATCCACATAAGTGGTGAGTAGTCAGCAACACCCCCAGCCAAGAGATAGGAGGCTGCGGACACACAAGGCTGGGAACTGGACCTGAGACTTTTGAAGTAAGCCAAAGTGTCTACACCACCCTTAGTGAAAGGTTGGGCTCCATATAATCGTCAATAAAGGTAGTCTTGCAGAAACCTGATTTGTCTCCACAAAAGTTCTCGGTGAAAAAAGATTACTAAGGATAATAACAATAATAATAATTCCCCAGAGAATTAAAAACATCCTTTCACTTGCATCTGGAAAAAGGTTAAAAGCTAAAGATCTAAAAATACAACCTAGTCATCTAGAGAAACAATACAACAAAATAAGTCCAAAGGCATAGATGACATATACACATATATAAATATACACACATTCCTAATGACTAGGGATAGTTAGAAGTTCCTTTAAAGAACAAAATAAAATTAAAAAAAAAAGTCTAGTGGCTATCCTACTGGACAACACAGATAGATTATCTCCATCATCTAGAAAATTCTACTGGACAGCAATGATCTAGAGAAAGTCATACAGTCCCTCTCTCTGAGCCTCCATTTCCTCACCTGTCAAATGAGATCATATATGAGATCATCCAAGTAAAGTACGGTGCTTGGCAGTGTTCCCTCAATGTGTTCTCCCCCTTCCATTCCTCAAAGGGGAGGTACTACTTGAGGGCAGGATCCCATTTATTATTTTTGTATCACCAATGCCTTCCTAGCACAATATCCCACTCATAGGAGATGCTCAATAAATATTTGTTGAACTATTAAAAAAAAAAAAAAAGAACAGTATGGACCCTGGAGTCAGAGGATTTGGATCCAAATTCCAGATCTCCTATTTGCCACCTGTGTACCTGTGTGACCTTATGTGAGTTTAAAAAAAAAAATCTTGTCCTTTAGTTTCATCATCTGTAAATGGAATAATGATATTGTCTACCTCATGGGTTATTGTGAGGATTAAATAAATATATCTAAAACACTTAGACCCTGCATAATAAATACTATATGAGTTCACTGTTAATGTTGCCATTACTGCTTCTATTCCACATTGCATCACAGAACTAGGTAGCATCTTAGGACAAGAAAAGTTGTCATTATTCACATATAATATGGCTGCTTCACAGATCACTCAAAGACTATGTGAAAAATCATTAGAATTAGAAGTAATTTATTTATTATTATAGAATTGTTATAAGTTTATTAGAATTTAAAAGAAAGTTTATCATAATGGCTATATACATTAGCTATAGCTAATAAAATAGCTATAAACATTATAAAAAAGGCATTGATAATTGTTGGATAATTCAATCTAGCAATGTACATTAAGAATATTACCCATGAATAAGTTCAGTCTAACTCAGAAATCCACTTTCACTATGATAAATTATTTCGACTACATTACTTGTAAATATTTATGTTTATAAGGTGTCAGGTTTAGGAAACATGTCTTAGATAGTTGGGGGAATTCATTAAACACAGAGTTAATGATGGCACATAATTATATTTATTGTTAATCACCTCAAAGTGAAATTAAATGAACTCAGTTGATTCCTCCTTTTCCTTTCTACCATTAAATGGTAATAGCATCTTGGTCTACCTTCTTCCCACTGCAGCTATACAGAACGGTATGAATTACATAAATATGCTTCATGTACTTTCAAAATCGTGTTTTTTTCTTCAACACCCTTAACCACAATGTAACACTGCCTCATCAGATTAGTCTACTTAACTTCCCAAGGTTCTTTCCACACCATAAAGTAGCTTATTCATACAACCATAAAACTACTAATGTATTTCTAGAATCATATCCTAGGAAATATTAAAGATCACATTCTTCAGAATTTAAAAATGAAATAAAATAAAAGAGGGCAATCCACAAACAAATAATGATAGGGTCCCATGAACTAAGGTCTGTAATTAACCTGCATTTGTACTATAAAAAATAAAGACATTTTCATGAGACCATAAAAATACACTAAAATCAAATAAATGATTAATTATAAAAAAACATTTTGTAATACTTTATTTAATCAATACACTAAAATAGTATATCTACCAAACTCGTTGGTCAACACATCTGCTATATAATGCAACTTCATTATATTTGGTATTCCTATGTTGATTACATGGTTAATATTATTAACAGAGGACTTTCAACATTTTGATCCTTATTTAAAATCTTTAGTACAAAACTATTAGCCTAGGGTTGCCTGAGTTCCTGTCAGTTAAGCGTCTGCCTTCAGCTCAGGTCATGATCCCAGGGTCCTTGGATCAAGTCCCACATTGGACTCCTTGCTCAGCGGGAAGCCTGCTTCTCATTCTGCCTGCCACTCCCCTCCTTTTGCACTCGCTCTCTCTCTTCTCTCTCTCTCTCTGATGGATAAATAAACAAAATCTTTAAAAAAAAAAAACTATTAGCCTCTATTAGTCATATATACACCATCAAGTCCTGAGGTCAATGGTTAATTTTTCTACTTAGAGTGTCATTTCAAGCTTTATCACTTAGGGGCTTACTGTAAGACATAGAACTCTCGAGGTCCCTTAAAATTATGAAGAGATTCTAGAATAGTAGTAAAATTACATTCATGTTAACAGTCTGACACATGTACAGCTTTTCCCCAATACATAACTAAAAAACATGTAAAATATGAGTCAAAATATAATTTCTAATATAATAAATGCAAATGCTGGTTATCAGAATGGACATAATGTTTGCATCTCAGTGGTCATCTAACCAATACAAGGCTTTATGAATATAATAATATTAGCATTAACCCTTGCCTAGTTTCAAGTTGCCACACAGTACAAACATTTTGGGGGACATAAAGGTTTGTTAACTTGGTATACGTATTAGTAACTTGTGTTTATCCATCTCATTCAGATCAGCTTTAAAATGTAAATACATTAATAATGATTGCAGGTTGATTTGAAGAATATCTAATAGAAAAAGCTAACCTCAAAAGACTTAAAAAGAAAATTGAGAACCAATATGCAAAATTAGTAAAAAAAAAAAAAAGGATAATTAATAGTAATCAATCATCTGGAAAATGATTATTTAAACCATATATTTAAATTATTGACAGGAAAAAGCATTTGGGGCTAAAGTTGCTTATGTTTGTTTCTTTATAAATCAAGCCATAATATAATGCCCGTTCCTATACTCACTTTAAATATTTTTGATCAATAGTTTAAACTCAATAAGAATATACTAAGAATGTGTAAGGCAGGTAATCTTGAGACAGAAATAGATCATTTCAGATGATTAGAAGATAAAAAGCAGCAAAAACATTTACCATTTTCTTCCTCTTGTATTTTAGGTTGATGATTTATTTGCATTTCTGCAAAAATAAAAGTGAAGTGAGTTAATAATAGATCTGTCTGATGACAGGGAGAAAAAGAAGTGTGAGTTAACTCTTTAATGGTAGCATGGGGCACTTGGGTGGCTCAGATGGTTAAGTGTCTGCCTTCAGCTTAGGTCATGACCTCAGGACCCTGGGATTGAGCTGCATCAGTCTTCCTGTTCACAGTGAGCTCCCTACTCAGCAGGGAGTCTGTATCTCCCTCTGCTCCTCCCCCCTCACACTTGTACTCTCTCTCTCTCAAATAAATAAATATTTTTTTAAAGATTTTATTTATTAATTTGACAGAAAGAGAGATCACAAGTAGGCATAGAGGCAGGCAGAGAGAGAGGGGAGGAAGCAGACTCCCTGCGGAGCAGAGAGCCCGACGTGGGGCTCAATCCCAGGACCCTGAGATCATGACCTGAGCCGAAGGCAGAGGCTTAACCCACTGAGCCATCTAGGTGCCCCATAAATAAGATATTTTTAAAAAAAATCTTTAATGGTTGCCAATCCTTAGGCTTATTTTTAATCTACAGTAGGGTATATGATGCTGCCAAGACACATCTTTACCTGTGGTTTTATTTTCACTGTGAGGAATAATGATAAATCTGATGCAAAGGGTAAACTATCAAAAGGAACATTCTGGGGACAATGGGGGAATGTTCCATGACACCCAGTTGTATCGAAACCATCTTGTAATATTCCACTGTGTGTGGGGGTATGTATGTATATATATACAGACCACATCTTCTTTATCTATTCATCAGTTAATGGACTCTTGGCTCTTGGGCTGTTCCATAAAGAGAGAGAGAGACAAACCAAGACCACAGACTCTTGACTA